TCGAATTGAGTATGATTGTATGTGTGATAGCATCTACTATACCAGGAATATCAATGAACCCTAATTGAAATCGCTCAGGATACCCTTTTTTAGCTTCTAGAATAGAATCTATTTCTTAGTTCAACTCTTATTAGTTTTGCTATGAGATACTGAGATATTGGTAGGTAATTCGCTGAAACAATGATTTTTCTTTTACTGTTTTGATCCTTCTGAGTCTATAACAGTATTTAGTTTTGTGTCTTTGATTATAAATTTCTTATGCCCTTTGCATTTTTTCCCGTGAAGTTGACCCACTACTGATTTTAGTGAGAACTGGATTGTGGTTGCGTTATCTCCACTGCGATATAATTCACAACTAGAATCAGATCTTAAATTGACTCTAATCTTTTATCATTATAAATGAACATTAGATCTTAAAATGTTTCTTAGCTTGTTCCTGATGCTATTTTCAATAAAAAATAAATGGAATGGAAGCAATCGATACATTGCCAGAATTGGCTTCAACTAGGTAGGGTCTAATCAATTTTAAGAATCTTTTAATCATTACATTTTTTTCCGAACTAGGGAATGACTTAAAATGATGTTTTCTCTTATAAAAAGGCAGGCTGCTAATGTATTGTGAATTCTGCTTCTGTCAATTCAATTGCATGTTTTGCAATTCAGTTTCTGCACTCCAGACTAACATATAAAAGTTGACCTTCATATTGCTCAGAAGAGAATTGAGAAAGAAGGAAAGCATCTTTGCTCAGTAGTGTATGGTTCATTGCCACCAGAGACTCGAACAAGGCAGGTGTGAGCTTCTAACTCTCTCTAAGAAGTTTTAGGTTTCCCCTTTGAATTGCACTTTTTTCTATGGGAATGTAATCTTTAAATCTTAACATTTACAGCACATACAAAATTTTATGCCATATGTTTTGTTCTTTTGTGCTTTTTGTGTTTCTAATTCATTGACAAAAATTTTCATGCTGACTATGACCAGTTTATGTGGTTTCAGTGTTATTTTGTGGCTCAGTTTGGAAATTCTTTCTCTTCTTTCATTTACTTCTATGTTTACCTTAGTTTACTGCTATATTTATTGGCATATGTTGATAAGTTTTTCCCTTTTCCTTTGTATTGTCCCTCTATCCCAAGGATTTGCTGAATTGAAAGTTTCATTAGGACTGCAGGCAAGTATGTTCAATGATGCAAGTAGCGAGTTTGATGTTCTTGTGGCCAGTGATGCCATTGGAATGGGTCTTAATCTAAACATCTCTAGGATCATATTTTCAACCATGAAGAAATTTGATGGTTTTGAGATGCGGGAGCTGACTGTACCTGAGATTAAACAGATTGCAGGTAGCATGAAATTCATATAAGCAGATTGATCTTGTTCCAGAATTTGATTAAAGGATCCTAGCTGATATATGATAACCCTGATATTTTTTTGTTTTGAATTTTTTTATCAATAAAAAGATATATTATTATGTCTAGTTAGCATATAAGTCATTTGTTTTTTTGGTGATTCTAGAATCGTTACTTCAACTTTCAAGTAGCTTTGTGTAATCATTTTCTATTCTTATTCTTTACCTTGAGGCATGCCAGCTGTACCTATGTATTGAATTTGAAAGCAATTTATTTAGCTTAGATAAGCACATCATAGCATCTTTTTATTGATATCATATCCATATCCTTGTCAGATTCTGATAATTGCTGCATAATTCAGTATAAGTACTAATTTGTGTTTAACATTGTTTATATAATAAATTAATATTATAATTGAGTTGCTTCTATGATACTTGTCAAATTTTCTAGTATACAGTTCAGATATGTCAATTGTCAAGGTTCTTTGTCGGACCGTCCAAGATGTTTCATGGAAAATCTGTGCATCATTATAAAAAAGAATTTGAACTTCTGGTTTAAGTTTATTTTTTATCCCAATCTCTATGGGCTTTGACATGCCACCTTATCATCTCTCTTTTATCTTGCTCTACTCAACCTATTGCTTCTCCTTCACTTCAGACAGCAAGACTGTCTCTATTAATGCTGATCTTTTCTGCATTGTTTTCTAGATTTTCACTAATTCATTTTTAATATTTATTTAGGTAACTGATCTGGCATCTGCTTTAGGTTTAGAAAACATACTACTAAATCAAATCTGCATGATTCACTATTCTAACAGAGGTTTTTTTTTATTAAAATGTGGATGCTTTGAGTAACATGTCCTGTCTATTTGGATCACATGTTTTGCCTTGAATGCATTTATGCTTGCAGGGAGAGCTGGTAGATATGGGTCAAATTTTCCTGTAGGAGAAGTGACATGCATGGATTCTGAGGATCTACCCTTGCTCCATTCATCATTGAACTCTCCATCACCTACATTAGAGGTAACCTGATGCCTAATTACCTTATAATAAGTATGAAGCGTAGGAAAAACTGAAAAATAAAAAGCTTCTAGTAACTATGCACCTTTATTAGAACTTGGTTTACTTTTTATTGATGATTTGTGTATTATTCTGATGCAGCGTGCTGGATTACTTCCTACTTTTGATCTGATGTATATGTATTCACGATTACACCCCAAAAATAGTTTCTATGAAATACTGGTAAGTTATATGTGCCCGTTTCTGGCAGCACTATCTTCCATTCAGTCATCCAGTATACAAGAAAACTATGTGATTGATAGTGGACAAGCGGCTTTGTCCACATGCCTTCATCTGTCAAATAATTAAAGTTGAAAATCCCTATATGTGTTAATTGTTATCTTATGATTTCCCAAAACCACATAATTATTAACCTTTCTTTTATATTGCAGGAGCATTTTCTTGACAATGCCAAATTATCTGAAAATTATTTCATTGTTAATTGTGAACAATTATTGGTATGTCTTTTAATAGTTGCCTTGCCATTGAATTCATTTCATATCAACGTTATCTTATAATTCCTTAGTAATATCAGTTATCAAATACCTCCATTATTTTATTATTGTTTACTGGCTTGCCTTTGAATTGTTTTGTTGCTGTTGTTTGTGCATGCTGGGACTAGAAAGTGGCTGCTATTATTGATGGGTTTCCCCTTGGATTGCATGAGAAATACCTTTTTTCTATCAGGTACATTCTTATCTTTTCAGGAAAAAAAAAAAATAGAATACAATACCCAAGTCTATAGGACAATTGTATGAATTGAAAACGTAGCAGAATGAACAAATTAGGGTGTCTGTATTTTGTATCACTTAACCTTCTCAGTCACTTTTTAACTGATACTTCTTATAATATTCAGTCCAGTTGACATGGATGATGAGATTTCATCCCAAGGCCTGACACAGGTAATTACCATATAGTCAGTATGAAATCGGTTGATGTTAGTTTGAATGGTTATTAAAATAACGCAACTTATGATGAACCAGTTTGCAGAGAATTATGCGAAGAAAGGCATTGTTCGGCTTAGAGAAATATTTACACCAGGGACACTTCAAGTGCCCAAGACGCCGTCTGCTCTTAAGGAGCTTGAATCCATCCACAAGGTTTCTTTTAATGCTTCAATTTTATTTAGTTCACACTTGAATAGTCAAGTAAGAGAGTGAGCCCTGGCTTAACCATAAGGTGGCTGCCTCATGACCTAGTTGTCAGGGGTCATGGTCATGTATTGCCATTTTAATGACCACGAGCACTGTACAGAGCTGGCAATATTTTCCTTAATTTAGTTTGATGCAAAATGTTAATAAATCTATTTTTTAACTTGTGTTGAACCAATTATCTTCTGATTTTATTAATGATTTATAATTGGTGACAAAACTGCAGGTCTTGGATCTATACGTTTGGTTGAGTTTTCGATTGGAAGAAGCTTTCCCAGACCGCGAGCTGGCTTCATCGCAAAAGGCTATTTGCAGCATGTGCGTGTTGCTTATTGTGTGTGATTTACTGGTTTTTTCCATTTTATTAATGTACTGAATATTTATCCATTTAAATTCATAGGTTGATTGAGGAATTCCTAGAAAGACTCGGGTGGCAGAAGCCAATGGCTAGAAGGTTGCCTCCGCGTAAAATGTCAAGTTCTCTATTATCCCAACACATGAGGCAATATTTATAAGTTATTATTCCCTTCTCATGTCAGCATCACGACACCTACACTTGCATGCTCAGCACCGTAGAAGTTTCACAAAATAAGATCAAATCTCTCGTATATTTCTAGGTTCTTGTCTACCTCTTGGGCCGTTTTTTTTACATTTTCACATGACGTGTGTATATTCATTCTTTAATGCTTCATCTAAATGATGAAAGTAAATGATAATTGATTCAGGCTTGCTTTCTTTCTTTCTTTTTTTACAATTGTTTGTGTTCATTTTCAAGCAATGCTGGAAGCTAACTAAAATGCTTGCCAATCTTCTAAATGTAAGCACCCGAAGAAGAGGGACCGAGGTTTGGTTAACTTTTCGAAGTTTTGGAAACTTGAGTCCAATCTTGACCCGAGAGTTTTTTGAAGTACAAGTTTACCGGCCCTATTAGCTGTTAGGGCTCAGGTCCAAAACCAAGGGTAAACTTGAAATGGTGCCATTTTCAGACTTGATTGCCAGAACTCTAAATTTAGCAGAGCTGCTAGGTGCAACTTTCTTATTTTGTTTCAACAGTAAAGAACTCCACATGTTTGATGTAATGGGACTTGCATTGGGAGAGGTTTTTGTGATTCTCATCTGCTATTGAGTAGAGGCCAGAGGGTGCCAAAATCTGTGCATGTTCTGCTCCTTACTGCATAAAGTAGTCATGAGAACCACCACCCAAAAAACAAATCAAATTAGATCAGATGATACAATATTATGTTTAAGATTAAGCAAGAAAAAGCTAAACAGCATTAATAATTCAATGCATAATGCTTATCAGCTGCCATGCAACCACTCTTAAGTGATGAGTAATGAAGCCATTTTGTAAAAAAAAACGAACAGGTAATGTAAAAACTAAGAACAAAAAGAAAAGAAAAAGCCCTACCCCCATAAAACACCTCATTCTTCAGATAGCCACTATCCACCTAAAGACTTCATCATTTTCATCAGAAGCTACTTTTCTTCATGCTCCAAGACCACTAGTCAAAAGAGTGTTGATCTCCCCAATTATATTAACTGGTCTTCCATCAAACATGGATGAAAGTGTACCCTCATAGTTTTTTCAGCTCTTTTGTTTTTGCCAGAACCGCATCCTGCAATTCATTCAACACGAAATAGCATTATGAACTTGTTACTATTTACCAAGAGAAAGTGTATCTAGTGATAGTTCGGACAAATCTAGGGCTAAAACAATAGGAACGAAGGGGGGAAAAGGTGAGGTTTGTCAGACAACTTTGAGATCTTATATTAGACTATTAGAGACTATAATGCATGAAATTAGTTGAACACAATGAATACTCTCCCTCGGAAAAGAACAAGCACACAAAAGTAGAACTCACTTGCTTTGGCCATGATGAAGATAAAGAATTATGCAGTTCCATACGTTTAGTAGCCAAGTCCTTCAACCCCTCTTTCAACCTGACTTCATGATGCGTCTTTTCCTCCAACGAATTGACTATTCTGTCTAGAAACCTGAAAATTGACCCAACGCCATAATCAATTAACACAAAGATCGGATACAATAGGAGTGCGAAGAGATTACATAATAAATGTCACTGCTAGTATACTTAATGTGGATTGGGGTGACTAACTTCCAAATTATCAACAAGCATGTGCACAAGCATATATATTAACGGAAAAGAAAAATTGCATGCCCTTCATCCCAAACATCTAATATTTTGAAAGATGTAGAAAAGAGAAAAGTGTGCATTAACATGCCATCCAGAACTTTATCCTTTCAAGTTGCACAGTAATATAAGATAAAATTGAAAACTGATCGGAACAGATCTTTACAACTAGGCCGATCATGTGATCTTCGGCTACACAAAGGCTTGGAACCTCCTTGGGTCAGAGCATCTTGCAGTTTGGAGTTTGGAGCAGCTTTAACCCATGGGTTTTCTATGGAATGAGATGTGGGGTGTACCTGCAAGCACTCCGACACTCAAGTCAGTTATGGTTCAAGCAGGTTTAATTATGTAGGAGAAGATGATGTACCTTAGTGTTGATACATGTATTATAGTGGAGAGATGAGCAGCTTGGGAAGATGTTACTTAGTGATCAGGTTTGCTTTGTCTTGGAGGCAAAGTAATAGAGCTGTCATGTTTAATGTTGAGGAGCTTGATGATATAAGGTCATTAATATTATGCAGCTTGATGGCTGTCATGGAGCTTGCTGTTATAGATGAGATAGCAGCTTGTGGAGTTTGTTGTCTGTCATGGTGCTTTTAATATTATGGAGCTTGCAGCCTTCTTGGACTAAGGCTTTGCTTCATTATGAAGGCTTTAATTCTGGGCCTTGTATTTGTATAATATTTATCCAGATCAAAAACTAAATAGACAAGTTGAAATTTGCAAGAAATCATCACCTTTGTCCATGATAAAACAATTACTGAAGCCTTCAATTCTTACTTCTCATGCAGGCCAAACACACCGCACTTGTGAAAAAATGCAGATTACAGCATGTCGCGGCCAACCCCGAAAAATGCTATAGTAGATTGCAGTTGCGAAAATAACGAAATAGATATGACAAAAAGAAATATTTTTTAAAGGCAGAAATAGCAGGAGTAACAGAGAGAGACGCAAATCGATTAAAAAATCTTAAAAATTTTGTTACATATTTAAATTTAGGACAAAATTAACATTTTTCCTTATGATAGTAATATGACCGTTATTTGACCGCAAATGCGATTGCAATGGCCTCTATCGTGTTCCGGTGCGATGTGGCGCAATTTCTTGCGGCAAGGCACTGCAACGCCCATACAACTCGGCTCACGAAGCTATTGCGGCGCAATTAACTACTATGATATAATCCAAGTATGGTCAACCCAAAATCATTCGTCTGGTTTTTGTTTGAAACAAAAACTTAAATCAGCTTTCCTTCCACGTTAAACCTACCATCTTCCTGTTAAGAAGTAATGCTCCTCAGGTTTGACCTGAATATTACCTGAATATTCAACAGCCTACTTTCAATGTTCACAATTTTGCATTCACTGCAATTTGTGTAAAATAAGAACTACACACTCGTCTTCACAAATCACGCATGGACACCGAGTCTGTTAAATGAACAAATAAAATTAATGTTATTGCAGATTCCAGGTTATTTAGAAAGAAACGGACTGATACATGTAAAGAGTTAAGGAAATTTCTATTTTCTTTCATGGCATGGGATGAAATGAGGGACCAATCACTAGCAGATTTTGCTGAAATATCCTATACCAAAACCACTAAATATTTTGTTTCGGTGAGACGCTTGCCATCAATTTCTCAACATGCTCTTTCTCTTTTAACATGCTCTTGGACTCGAGCTTTCCCACCAATAGCGTGATTGTGCTGTTATTTGGAGTGAATCCCTGCATGACCATTTCCTCAAAGAATGAGCAAGCATGCTCAAGTTTTCCGCTTCTACACAGACCATGTACCAAAAGCGAATAAGTTCCCAAATCAAGGCTTAAATCGTTTTTGAACATGTGATCCAACAAAAACTTGAGCACCTTCATTCTCTTCTTTTTGCAGCACATCTTGAGCAATGGATGATACGTCTCAAGCTCCAGCTTGAATGGACCGTCTTCCATTTCCTTAAGCAACCTAAGAGCAGTCTCTTCCCGTGAGTGTGCACAAGCAATAGAAATCATAGTATTGTATGTCATCGCATCTCGCACAACCCCTTGCTTGGGCATATCCTCGAACACATGGCAGGCATCCTTTAGCCTACCAGCTTTGCCAAGAATGAATAGCATTGAACTATAAAATGGAGTGTCAGGTACACAACCATCACTCTTCATTTTGTCATAAACCTCCACAGCTTCACTTAGCTGCCCTGCCTTCCCTAGAGCAAGCATCAGAATAGTGTAAGTCACAGCATTGGGGGGACATCCATTGCCCCTCATCTCCTCCAAAACTTGATCCACCTTGCGGAAATCTTTGTCATGGCAATATGCTTCAATGAAATTATTATATGAAAAAACATCTGGGTCAAACCCATGTTCCTTCATGTCCTCCATTGCTTTCCGGGCCTGGTCAAAGTTTCTAACTTTGCACCACCCATGCATCAAAATATTGAAAGAATGAGAATTCAACTGAACACAACTCTTGAATTCCAAAAGAACATTGTGGGCAAGTTCAACACTATTTCCTTTCATTAAAGCGTCCATGAGCGCATTCAATGCTGCGGTGTCCTTCTTGACACCAAACTTTCCCATTCTGCGAAATGCTTCTACAGCATCTTGATACTTGCGGGTCTTTGCAAGCCTCCTCATCACCGTAACCATTGTATGCAACGTCAAATACCCTTCAAGCTGTGACATTTCCTCCACCAATTCCCACACAAGATCAAAATTCTTGGATTTCCCCAAGATGTCAACCATCAAGTTGTACAGTTCAGGAGAATGCTCATAACCTGTTTGAGCTTTTGCCCATTTGAAAAACCCGAAAGCTGGGATCCAATCATTGTTGAACCTCTTCAGAATCTGCTCAACCAAACTGTTCGATACCTGAAAACCACGTCCGTCAAGTGATTGAGCAACTTCCTCGGGAGAAGAGTGCCGTTCCTTTAGAACAGTGCTGATTTCTTCAACATCATCACAGTGCTTGTTTCCCTTGAAAGTTTGCCTCACGAGTTTGGGCTTGTCACCAAGCATATGGGCATCGACCCAATGGGCAAGTGAAGGGATAACGAAGTCATCGTCTGAGTCTGCATTTGGAGGGGTTGGGTCGTCGGAGAACTTGACCCAATCAGGAAGTTCAGGTGATTCGGGGGTTGTTTGCGACTTTACCAATGTGCAAAGTGGGTTGCAGTAAATGAAGCGATGCGAACCATTGAAGGTGGTGATTCTTGGATGCAGACGATGCGTGAAGCGGTTCAGGATTCGGAACTTTGAGAGCATTTTAGGGTTTCTTTGAATATGGAAAAGAGGGGTTTCAGTTTCACTGTGAAGCTCAATGCCTAATGATTCAATGAATGAATAATGAAAAGGACAATATAATTAAAAAATTTGGAAAATAAAAAACATATCCACGCTCTAAGTAATCTTTTCCCCTTCAATCTAACATTTCCTAATTATTTTTAGGAAAATACTATTCTCATTTTACATGAGATATAATTATCTCATTTTAAAAATCGTAACCTTTCATTTTTTTTCTTTTTCTTTTTAATGGTGGATCCCACTTAAACTCTCTCTATAGCATGAGAGAACTACTCTCATGTAATATAAGATTAATGTTACACTTATTTTTAAGAAAAAATGATTGCAGCTGTGTTTTTTAGTAGTTATAACTATATTTTAGGGAATATATAGTTATAATATTAAAAAAAAAATTCTTTTCAAAAACTATCTAGTGATGTTGAAAGTTGGGTATGTGTAGTGGCGGAGGCAGGAAAATAATTTAGCTAATGGCAAAAAATTTAACATATCAAATTATCAAAATATTTATCTTAATTACACAAATTTATTAGAAACAAAATTTACTATAAATTCTACCATATTTATCCAAATTATTTACTAAATAATACCACATAACACTGAAAATTCAAACGAACAATTACCAATGATTATATATTAAAACAAATATATGAAAAGACACTAACCTTTCTGGTAAGCATTCCAAATATAAGAATTTCACTTTTCTTCAACAGTATAATACGTAATGAATCAAGCATTGTCCTAAGGAGATATTGGTATATATATATATAATGACAAATGAGTAGTTAAAAAAATGAGGAAAAAGATAAAAATATTATAATTTTGCTATATTTATTTAGGTACTGCCAAATTATAATTTTATCCATGGCCAAATTATAATTAACTATATGGGGGTGTTTGGTTCAAGTTTTTGGAGAGGATTACCGGTAATCCTTCTTTGGTAAATGTAATTACCACGTTTGGTAGAAGGAATAAATTACGATTCTCGGATATCCAAGGATTACCGGTAATTTGATTTATAAAGAAAAGTCACTATTCAGATTACCAAAAATAATATGGTAATTCGGAATACCAATCAGAATACCAAGTAAAGGGAAATCACAACAATAAATTTTGAGACAAAAATACCCCAATACACGTAAAAATCTAGACCCAATCTATCAATTACAAAAGTAAAAATAGTTTGGGGTTATTTTTGTAAAATAACCTCATATTCCAAGTCATATTTCGTTCTAAACCAAATATGGAATCATTAATTTTTACCCAATATTCCCGGTAATATTTTGGCGAACCAAACACATCTTTCGTAAGATTCCAAGTAAACTCAATTTCTACTGAATTCCCATTAATCATGATTCCCGATCACCAAAAAATTTCTCCTGTACCAAACACACCCTATATATAATTATATGTAATAAGTAAATTTTTTTTGAAACAATACCATGTTACAATGTGGCTACGCCACTAGATACATCACAGTAGGTTTATGGCCACGTAAACCGCTACATAGTGCAGCGAGATTACGTGGCAGACAGCATATCAAATTCGTTATGATGCATTACTGCATAGCATGTTATGTGTCAGCTTGACGTGTTATGTGTCTGACACGTGTCAAACTCGCTATGTTGTATAACGTTACATGTAAGCTTTTTTGACACGTGACCATGCATGCTATGCTGCATGGCATATTATATGTAAGTAGCCCAGCAATCCAGCATTTTTGGTCTAATAAATTCACCACTACTAAAAATAATTAATTAACAGTTCTAAAATAATTTAAATTAATAAAAGTAAATTAATTTAGCTTATGTTAAGTTAAATTTTTTTGAACTAATGAATTAAATTTAATTTATGTATGTTAATTAATTTAGTTTAATTTAAATTATTTTAGTGCTATTAAATAATTATTTTTAGGAATGTTAATTAATTTCATTTAATTTAGTTTACGTTAAATTAAAATTATCTTGAACTGTTAAGAAATTTAATTTAATTTAGGAGTGTTAATGAATTAAATTTAATTTATGTCTGTTTATTAATTTATTTTAATTTACCTTTATTAATTTAAATTATTTTTGACTTGTTAATTAATTATTTTTAGGAGTGGTGAAATTATCATACCAAAAATGCTGGATTGCTGAACTACTTACACATAATATGCTATGCAGCACAGCATGTATGGTCACGTGTCAAAAAAAGCTGACACATAACATGATATACAGTATAGCGAGTTTGACACGTGTCAGACACGTAACATGCCAAGCTGACACATAACATGCTATGCAGTATAACGAATTTGATACGTTGTCTGCCACATAGTCTCGCTACACTATGAAGCAACTTAGGTGACCATAAACCTGTTGCCACGTGTCCACACCTAGATCAATAAGTGTTATAGCCGCTGCATTTTTTCATTCTTCTCCCCTCTCCCTTTTTTCGGTCTCTCTCTAATACCGTTACTAAACAAACATTTATCATTTTCAAATCTCAAATCTTATTCCATTACCAAACAAACATTACCATTTCCACACCTCACTTTGAGGACAATCAAACATGTCAAAATGACTGCATTCAAATTATCAGTACTAGTAGCACAACTTTAACATGTATCACGTTTTTTTTATAAAAATTGTTAGGCTTTTCTCAATCAGAAATCACCTAGTCCCTCACAAAAACAAACCTTGTCAGATTGAGTGCCTCACATAAACACAGACAAACAACTTGAGTAAACCAAGTCTACAGAATAATAATATTACTCTAGGTAGCAAGGGAAATTTTGATTGGAGATTATAATAACCTTTTTTTGATGCACAGTTGAAACCAGTTTTCAGTACTAAATACAATATCTAAGAAGCAATGAATTCACTCCTTCAGTCAAAAAAAGTAATAAAAAACAATTCCCTTCCATTCTTTTCAACAATCATTCTCTCCTACATGAGGAAAGAACGTTGAACTGGCAAAATCATAAAATACCAATTGCCAGTTACAGTGCTTCACCTCTATCTCTCTTGAAAACATAAGATAATGATTAAGGATTCAAGAATCAGGGACCACGGGTTGCAGCAAAACAAAAGCAACCTGAAGCCTGATCTTCAGGTATCATTCCACCACCTTTGCTGGTATCAAGTGCTTCTAGCATTCTCACCACCTCGTCCATTTCAGGACGCTTGTTTGGATTGCCATCCCAGCATTTCCTCATGATATTTGCCAAGGCACTTGGACAACACCTCGGAATTTCTGGTCGTAAATTCTGTTCAAGAGAATACAAGCAATATGAAATCCATATCATATTAGGCAAACATGCTATGGTAGAATGTCCCCATAAATAGTTCATCATATGAACTGACCTGACGAACAACTGCATGCGACACATCAGCAAAGCTTAGATCAGGATAAGGCATATCACAGCAATAAATTTCCCACAAGCAAATGCCAAAGCTATAGACATCACATCTCCTGTTGTAAGGCTTACCATCCAAAACCTACAAACAGTACAATGCCAAGATTAAAGCTATAAGTCATTTGAAGTGCTTGTCTAACAATCAACACATAACAATGAACACATTTAAGTGTATGCCCGAGCATCACGCGAGTAACTTATAACTAAATCATTAGAAAAAAAAATATTACAAATTTGAGGCAATCCCATGCAAACAGCCAGCCTCATATGATATTATTATTTTTCCAAAAAAAAACAATAATACCTCAGGAGCCATATATCCAAGGGTTCCAGTTTCACCAGTCATGTCACATGGATTCATAGCTTCAACACGAGCAACTCCAAAATCAGCTATTTTCAGATTCCGACTAGTATCAAGCAACATATTCTCTGTTTTAACATCTCGATGGACAATCTTCTTCGAATGTAGATAGCTAAGCCTGCAGATTGGGGAAAACATATATTTTATTTCAGTAAAAGATTTACAGTTTCTAATTGTAGAGATAAGAAAAAAATGGGACGCACCCTCTTGAGAGGTCCAAAGCCAGCTGAATCACAACCTTATAAGCAAGTTTCTTCCGCCTATTTTTAATCAAGTATTGTTTCAGTGTCCCACCTGGAAGAAACTCAACAATAACACAACACGCCCTGGCAGGAAGGGAATCTTCATCACCATTCGAAGGGTTTTTTGAGGGAATCTTAAGATTTGAAGTGCCCATTGAAGCTCCAACAAACTGTTGCAGAAATAAATACAAAACAATTACTAGCCTGAAAAGTTCACTGAACCATGAACTTAATTCATATCCTCTCTTAAAAAGGAAGTAAGAACAGAAAACTAAGCATGCTGAAGATAACAGAGCAAAGTTTCAAAAAAGTCATTACTAACAAAGTGTGCTATCTGTAGCAGCCACTTCTTTCATCAACTATGTTGTTTAAGTATCAAGTAGCAGTGATTAATTTAAATGAGATTGAAGACTATTGAACTTTTACTTTTGTGACATTTGGATGGTCAAGTTTGTGCCAGACAGCAACCTCCTGCCTAAAAGATGCCCGTAAAGCATGAGTTTCAGCAGCAGTGGCGGCACCCTCCTCACCCCAGTCCAACACTTTCACTATAAAATTCAAGATGACAATACACTAGTTATAAAAATTATCTTCATTCTGCACTACTTTTACAGACCCAAACCAAAAGGAAAATAGTACTAGTACATATACTGCCATATTCACCGTACCATTCATACACTTTTGCCTTTTCTCAGCAAAAAATGAAAGCATCCACAAAAATATAGTTTTGAGATAAAGTGAATATTTTTGTTTGATCAAATCTAAATAAATCCACTTTTTCTAAAAACTCTATAAGCTTTAGTATTATTAGCAAGTAAGATATTTGCAGCCACCCAGCAAAAGGCTTTCCAGCACATCATGCCACCATTCCACTTCATTACTTAAAAAGTAGACGTGTCATTATTCATTAGATTAACAGATACTGGCATAGAGAAAGATATTTGGCAAAACATCCCTTCTCTCTCTGATTAAATTTCTTTTTCAATAAAAAAAAAAGAAAGAAAATTGTCAGAAGTCAGAACATTTTTAACTGAAATCATAAGAAAGGGGCATCATAAATGATTAATTATTCCCAACACTACGCTGATGTCATGTCCTCTTACAATTATCATCAAACAAAGCCAAAGATTTAAATAATAATATTATAGCAGAGCCTATATAACCGATTAAACAAAAAAAAAAAAAAAAAAACCTTTAAGCTGCCGACTTAATGGTAGAAACTAGAAAGAATGCAGAACGTTTCAGTATTTAAAGATAACCGCCCTCAATAAAATAGGGAGAATATACTTTTTGGGATTTCTTATACCAAATCTTAAGAATTAATGTCAATATATAAATTATAATTTATTGGATTATATTCATTAATTAATTATTAATTCTTGATAAATTATAAGAGTTAGATTTACTAGGTTGTAAGCATATCCTCCTCGAATAAAATAGCACAAAAAAAATAAAAAAAAATTAAGTGCAAATACCTGCAACGTCTAGGGTATCATATGTGCCCCTGTAGACAGTACCAAATGTCCCATGAGCAACAACATACCGTAAATCCAATTTGGCCAAATCAATCTCCCACTCTTCTTTAGGCCCTTTTGGCTCCATGCCTCTCGACCAAACCCTGCTCAAGTGCTTTTCAAGCTGTGCGTCCAAACTCTTGAGATCAATTTTATCAGCTCTGAAAATCATATCTTTACTGCTCTGGTTTCCAGCACCCTTCATTTTTAAATTCAGTGTTCCTTCTGCTTCCAAATCCATCTTTGGCGTCCTAACACTCTCACCTTCCAAATCCATCTTCAACACTGACAACTTCAAATTCCAAAAACGAATTTGTACAACCCGAATGATTATAAAATATATATTTTTTTTTTAAAAAAAAAGAAAAAGAAAAAAGATTGAGATATATGTATATATAATATATATAAAAACTTCCCTTCTATATATCCAGCCTAAAAAATAGACTTATCATGATTGAAACCCAGAATTTTCTCATCGCCAACCATTTGTTTTATTGACTATCTATCTTAATTTGAAAAAATAGTACCAGAATAAAGAAAAGTAAAGCTATCAGAAAAGGACCCAATTCGCACTATTGCACGACCAAGACCAATGATCCAGAAAAATCAATTTTTTTTAAATAAGAAAAAAAAAAGTATCTGCCGAAGCACAAAACCTCGAAAGCAGGAAACACGTAACGCCAAGCAGAAGCATCAAGCGAAAAATGAAAACCCAAAAAGACCCCACCACACAACCAAAACAGATTAAGAATCACGCTATATAAGAGAGAGGAACAGAATCCATAGACCAAAAAATTGACTTTTTTTAAGGCCCCAAAAAATAAAAGGGTCGGTGGGTGAAGGATGGGTACCTTATAGCTTTTCTAGGAATCAAAGGCTTTGACTTTGGATGGAAGAGACAAAGTGAGCATTCCAGATGTTGTCATCATGAACTTTGAGACGCCAAGAAGACCGAATCGAACAACACATCGCTCAAATGAAGATGGGTTTTAGATGGTAAAGCTATTAGCTTTTTAAAAAAAAAATTCCTGGAATTGGTAAAGGAGCGATTTTGAAGGGCAAAACCACGACAAAACAAAGCATAAACAGCAACTAAACAACCCCAAAAATGAAAAAACCAGCGAAGAGGGTCACAAAATGAAACGCGGGTGTTCCCTAAAATGTAGGGGGAGAGAGAGAGAGAGAGTTCAAAATAGATCGAACGAAGGAAACTTTAGGGTGTGTTATGTCACTGTGTGTATGAACTATGAAGCGAAACGCAAATAATAAGTTAATAACATTACCTTGTTTCAGTTCTGGTAATACACGTGTGTATATATATGCACACTAGGATCTTTGATATTAAATACACCGTTTGTTTCTTGACGACAAGTATTTTATGTTTTCTTGTTTTTCGGTGGGAAAGGACAGGTCCTTTCTTCCCTGTGAATCCTAATCCTCATATACTTTTTGTGGTTGTTATCGTAAATCTTGGGGTAACAGAAATGTGCTTGTACCCAAAACACTAAACAAGGACAAATCTATATAGCACATTGTTTTGTTTACAAGACAAATTGTTGGTCAAAAATAATTTATGTCGTTTTGTAAAATTAAAGAGTTTAATGTTTCTAAAGTGAATGTAGATAAGTTATCTATCTTCGCTCTTAAAACGACGTTGTTTTGAGTTGAAAAATTAAAAAATTATAATAAAAAAGACTATTATAACTCTAAAATAAATTATAATTACAAAAATAATTTGATTTTCGTCTCAAAACGACACTCACTGTAGATAAGTTATCTAATGGCAAAAAAAGCAAACCCTAAAATTAATTACAATAAATGGGATACGCTCAAAAAATGGAAGAAAATAAACCATATAAATGTAAATAATAGTATAACATATATTATATATCCAATTTAATTACAGCAAAACAAAATTCTATTTAAAAATAGAAACTTTTTAATATTCTTTGATTTCTTTAATATAAAAGACACCTTCAAATTGAGGAAAAAATAATTTAACAATTACATTAAATTGAAGATTTTTTTATTAAAACACAATTTCCTGCATTAAGTATATAACTCTTTATATGATATAAACATATATTTCACTCCGCTCTCCACCATCTTTTTTAAACCAAGCAATACATAAATCACTTTCTAATGATTTGTTTTGGAGAATTTTTAATGTTTTAAGGTAAATTTATAATAAAATTTAATATGAAAATCTTGACCAGTAATAAAGTAATATTTTGTTTCCAAAAATAAAAACGTAATAGTTTTTCACTTTTAGTGAAACGTATTTTTAAAAGCAAACTTAATTTTAGTGTATGACAAAATCATATAAAATCACTTTTCTACCCTCAAAACATATCCAAACGTGCTTTAAACCGCTCCCTTTCACAAGGTAAGTTGCTTTGTTACGGAATTATACGTTAATGTGACTAAAAATGTGATGGTGAAATCTTTTTTAAGAAAAGTTAAAAAATAATAATAAACAATATTAATATCATTTATAATTTTGTTTTAAATTAATTGGGATCGGTGGACAATAAATCTAAATAAATAACAAGAAAAATTAATAAAATAATAATAATAACCGTAGAAAATAAATAAATAAATAAATAATAAAACAAGAAAAATAGATGAGAAAAAAAATAAACAAATAAATAACAAAGAAAAAAGAGTGAAGAATTTAGATAGGAAAATAATAGATAGGTAAAGGAAGAAATAAATATAAATATGTAGAAAAATGACTAAAATAAATCACTTGTAACGTAGAAGAAAAACATGTTCAGCCTTCCAAAATGTTAATAAGTTTCCTCCAATCTGTTCTAAAATATATTATTTGTTAATTTATATCGTACTCCTTTAATTATTGTTTTATTAATTTTTCCTAAGTAAATTTTGATGGATCTTTTTCTCTCTTTATGTCAAGCTCTTGGTAATAAAACTTTTATTCTTACCAGAGCATATGTGCTCAGATCACCTTAATCTATATTCTCTAACATTTTCAGTCATCGATACCAATATTATTATCTTTCATTTAATATCTTTATTTCTTATTCTATCCATCCTTGTAAGTCCACAAATCTACCTTAACATAGATCATTTTGCTACTCCCATTTTATTATCATGTTACCTATATACTAGTCAACATTTAGCTTTGTATAACATTACAAACTTTATTGTTGACTTTGATCTACTGTGTTATTTCATCCAATCTGCTTTGATTATGTGATTTACATCCCCAAAAATCTTTCCATGTTTTTGCAAATAGATTCCAAATATCTAAAAACATATTTTTTATGTTCCTGTATTCAAACAAATGCACGAATTCTTGATCTCCATTTCTTTCCGGAGCAAACCCATTTCATATACTCAGTCTTACTTTGACTTAGCGTGAATCCTTTAAATTTCAATATGCTTCTCCAAAATTTTAGTTAGCTGTTAATACCAACCTTAATCTCATCAATAAGCATAATATTATCTATAAAGTAAACACCATGACACTTCATTTTGGACACCTTTTATTAGTTCATTCAAAACTAGAGGGAAAGATAAGGACTCAATATAGAGGTTTGGTGTACACCAATTGTCTATATATTTTGATAATATTTTTTTGTTCTCAAGAACCCACGATAGAATTTTTCTTGAAACCTTATCATACTTTTTTTTTTTGAGATCTATAAATATCATATTCAAGTTCTTCATTTCTTGGACAAGAACCAAAATGACACATTTTGGAAAATAAAATATCCAAATGTCACGTTTTAGAATTTTTTTTGTAAAAAAGACCAATTGTCATTTCACGCAGGTCTATTTTGCCACGTGTTGCCCGGACAAGGACCCATTGTAAAAAACAACAGGTCCTGGATCCATTAATTTTTACAACGCGTCCTTGCAAACCCGTTGGGATTGACAACAAGTCCTGAAACTTGACATTTTGGCAAAAAAAATATTCTAAAACATGGTATTTGAATAATTTATTTTCCAAAATATGTCATTTTTGTTTCAAATAATTGTCGTATCAAGAAAATAGAGTTAATTGATTTATAGAAATTTTGATTTCTTTTCTTAAGCAATACTCAATAACTCTCTCTTGAAACTTCATAGTTTGACTCTTAAATTTAATGCCATAGAGTTAGAACAATTTCCAATATCTCCCTTATTATTTAAATGGGCACAAACATATATTTTATCTATACATAATACATCTTATTAATTTAACAATTATATTGAAAAGATTTGTCAATCAATTTATTCTCACATCCTTAAACATTGCCATACTTTAGCATGAATATCATCTGATTCCAAAACTTTACTGATCTCTATCTTCTCCAAAAATTCGTACTTCGTAACTTGCAATAGAAAATAAAGGATTTTATAAACTAAATCTATAGCCGATGCAAGGGACAAGAGGCAAAATTGGCATCAATTAGCTTAGCAACACACCAGGAAACCTGGTGAACATTAAACCAGAAAAGATAAGACTCATCAGCACAATGACCCTAAACGTAAAAATTGCTTCCCTTATCTACGTTATCAGTCATCACCCAAGGTCATTGGACTCTCTTTGATGGCTAGGGACTGTATCATATCGGTTCCTTCAATGCTCTTACTTTGCATTGGACGCCAGACTTTGCTTGAGCTAGCTGCTTAAGGTTTGGGCTTGTTACAAGGGTATGTTTGGTGCATAGTATAGGATAAGGTCTGATAGTATAAGACCTGATTAAATTTTAATACTATCCAGCGTTTGGTATGATATTGTATAAGATAATATCCTCCAATATTTTAAAAATTAATATATTAAAAAAAATTATTTTAATATAAAAATATTAAAATGATATATTAGTTCTTGAGAATTGTACTTGTAATCTATATTAATACATCAACCATTTATCAGGCCTAATCCACCACTCCTAGGCAGAATTAAGTTATACATCATTTTGATGTATAAATGGGTCCTGCTGTATAAGCTTATACTATACGATGGTCACACCAAACAACTGAAAATGTCATAACGTATAATATAAGCTTATACTATCAGGCCTTATACATCACACCAAACAGGCCATGAGTATTGCATGCGCTCCACCTTACTAACTTGAAGGACCAAATGAGATTAATCAAGTAACTAGTTTTATTTAACTTGTTACTTTTTTGTTTTAATTTCTCTGTCGATTTATTAATTATTCAACTTTCTAATAATAAATATATAATATTATTACATACTAAAAATTTGAGCTCGAAATCAGGGAATAAATTGAAATAATATCTGCCAGTCGATCACGGCCTTAATGATTTTATTTTTTTTCTTTCATTTCATGCTTTCTTTCTTTTCCTCTCATTAATTCAATTAATACTTAATTCATTGAACCTCACTCTAATGTAAATAACAATAACAATATCAATTTACCAAAAAAACAAAAACAAAAACAATAACTATATCGTCATCCTGTAACTCATTTAATATGGTATACCTTTTAAAATTGGTTCTCCTGTACGTTGAATTTTACTTTGTTTATAGTCCTTGGCGAATATAATTTTTGAAATTTAACAACATTAAATATGACTCAAATTATATAGTATTCTAAAAATATTTTTAATAATTTTTTAATACTCACCAAAAGATATGATATAAACTAATTTTAGCTTTACGAAAAAATTATCCCAATTAAAACATAAACCATTTTTATAAACATAAAATTACATCTCTATTTAAAACTTGTACAGGTGCCTCATAAATAAATAAATATATATATATATATAGGCTTTAATGTTTCTAAAGGAAATGTAGATAAGTTATCTACATTCGCACTCAAAATGACGTTATTTTGGGTTGAAAAATTAAAAAATTATAATTAAAAAGACTATTATAACCCTGAAATAAATTATAATTACAAAAATACCTTGATTTTCGTCTCAAAACGACGTCGTTTTGAACTTATTGTAAATAAGTTATTTACATTGATGTCCGTCTGTTGATGGCTAGCTCGTACAAGCAAATATTGGACCTAGGTTTGTTGATGGATCTGGTCCTATTAGAATAGGCCGTAGCCGCAAAGAGATAGAGATTCGCATTGCGGGAAGGGAACCATAGCAGCTGAGAAAGGCTGCTGGTGGAGCCGGAGAAGAACCGGGCTAAGGGCTAGGGCCTTCACTAAGTACTAAAGTTGCTGGAGCGACTGCCTTCGTTGATTTCCCACGAAGGAATCGTAATCTCGCTACTTCCCTTTTCTGTAGAAAAAGCGAACCTATATAT